GTTTAATTGACACAAAGGCTTCCGATGGTGTGGATCATGACAAGCTGTGGACAACACTGTAGAGAATGAGTATTCTGGAACACTTAATTGTGCTCATGAGGAACCTGTACATAGACCAAGAGGCAGTTATTCAAACATAACAAGGGAATACTGAATGGTTTAAAATTAGGAAAGGTGTGTGCTGACATTGTTTTCCTTCACCATATTTATTCAATCTGTATGCTGAGCACATAATCCTGGAAGCTGGAATATATGATGAAAAACGAGGCATCAGGATTAGAGGAAGACTCATTAACAACCTGCAATATGCAGATGATACCATCTCACTTGCTAAAGGTGAAGAGGACTTACAGTATTTACAGACGAAGATCAAAGACCACTGTCATTGGTATGGGTTGATTGCTCCTCAATGTAAAGAAAACAAAAATCCTCACTATTCGACCAATAACCACCACCCATATAAATGGAGAAAAGATTGAAGTTGTCAAAGACTTCATTTTGCTCAGCTCAACCATCAACACTCATGGAAGCAGTAGTCATGAAATCCAACATTTGCATTAGGCAAATCTGTTGCACAAGACCTCTTTAAAGTGTTGAAGAGCAAAAATATCACTTTGAGGACTAAGGTATGCCTGGCCCAAGCCATGGTATTTTCAATGGCCCCATATGCATGTGAAAGTTGGATAATGAATAAGGAAAACCGTAAAATAACTGATGCATTTGAGTTATGGTATTGAAGAAGAATACTGAAAGTACTATGGACCATCAGAACAACAAGCAGATCTGTGTTGGAGAAACACAGCCTGAATACTCCCTAGAAGCAAGGATGACCAGACTTCATCTTTCATACTTCGAATATACTGTCAGGAGGGACCAATCACTGGAGAAGGATATCATGATTGGTAAAATGGATGGTTGGAGAAAAAGAGGAAGACCCTCCCCACCCCCCAACAAAATGGACTGGCACAGTGGCAGCAATAATGGGCTCAAATGTAGCAATGATTGTGAGGTTGGCACAGGACCAAGCAGTGTTTTATTCTGTTGTGCATGGGGTCACTATGAATTGATACTGACTCGATGGCACCTAACAACAAGCAATAAACAATAATCACAAGTTCAGTGGTTCAAACCCACCAGCTATTCCTTGGGAACCCTATGCAAGATCACAAGTCAGAAACAACTTGACAGCACTTAAAAACAGTAACAACTATGTTTCTGTCTGGCATTTGAAATACCAAGAAAATGAACAATGGATTATTAGACATTCTAATACCAGAATCTGTCAGACCAGGACAAGAATTTAGCTCAATATCTAACTAGCTGGCAACATTCAATAGTTAGCCTCACTGGTTTCATTTTCTAATACTTCACAAGGTCTTAAGGATTTAATGAAACAAAGTACTTAGTATAGTGCCTCATATATTAAGTACTCAAAAAGCACATACTGTCTCTGGCATAGCTCCAAAACGTCAAATTTATCACATGGAAGAGGATAAACCTCACAGCTTATCTTGTCCTCCAACTATATCCAACTTAACCCAATCATACCTTGAAGATAAACCAGATAGGGCTTTCTTGAGGATCTCAGGAGTTCTATCTGTGGGTGGTGGAATTTCCGGAATATCAGAATCTGTTCTGGAATCCAAATCTCCGCATCTGTCATCAAGATCTGTTTCCTAAAATTAAAACAGAAAATCATTTTGCAAAATAGAGGTAAGTGTGTCAAACCTGTTACATAAACTGAAACAAAGAAACAACTATAATTTATCTTGAGTATCCAAACAGGGTTGTATTTCCTTGTTTGGAAAGTGTATCTTTGCTAAGATCTACTAATATAATGGGGAGCGCGGTAGCTTTGTACGATAAGCACTGGACCCCAAACCACAGAGTCAGTGGTTCGAGCCCACTAGCCACTCCTCAGGAGAAAGACAAGACTTTCTGTTTCTGCAAAGGTCTATGACTTCGGAAACCCTACACAAGGTCACTATGAGTTTGAACTATTAGTACTTAACAACAACATTAATATAAAGAACTGATTTAAACAAAAGATACTCGCATATTTTCTTAATCAGATACTCATCACAATATAACAATCAAATATTCATTGTTTTGTGATTTAAGCAATTCCATCAGCTGTCTAGTCTCTCTGCTTTTCTTTTCATTTATTTGATTACAATCAAAGCATTAGTGGTCACAAGCTGGGCTGCTAACCTCACAGTCAGCAGTTTGAAACTACCAGGAGTTCTGTGGGAGAAAGATGAGGCTTTCTGCTCCCGTAAAGATTTACAGCCCCGGAAATCCTATGCAGGGTCACTATGAGTCGGAACTGACTCCATGGCACATAACCACCACTACCATCAGCTTGTCTAGTCTTTCACTTTTTCATTTAATTGCAGTCAAAGCATTAACAAGCAATGCAAGTGTTTTTTATATTTTTAAACAATTTAATTTTAATCACTTTTATTGTTACTATTGTTAAGTGTAGAGTCGGATATGACTCATAGCAACCCAGTATAGGGTTTCCTTACAGTCCTGTGCTTATCTTACAGCATCATACCAGAAGAAGTCCCCTTTATTAGATCCTCAAAAGTCAATCCTTCCGATGCAGGTCAGACAAGCATCATCATCTCTATTTCAAGGCACTTGTCATCATATCAACTCTGACTCCGGATGACCTCATGTGTTAGAATAGAATTGTGTTCTTTATCATTTTCAGTGGTGGACTTTGTGGAAGTACATTGCCAGTCCTTTCTTTAGAAGTTCCTCTCCGAGTGGACTTGAACCTCCAACTTTTCAGTCAGCAGTCATACACTCTAACCATTCGTAAAGCTCAGGGAGACTATCTCCATTGTACTGACAGATAAGCTATGATCCAGAGCATTTCTATCTTGATGATGAAAAAGAAAATTTTAAGTTACCAAAAACCCAAACTGATTTTCAACTATGTGTGTATGGTGGCTGGTGGCTGTGTGCTGTGGAGTCGGTTCCGACTCATAGTGACCCTGTACAGGGTTTCCGAGGCTATAAATCTTTACGGGAGCAGAACGCCTCATCTTTCTCCTGCAGAACAGCTGGTAGGTTCGAACTGCTGACCTTGCGGTTCACAGTCCAATTCGTAACCACTACGCTACCAGAGAGTGAAGGACAGGGTAAGAGGTAGGAGTAGGCAAGAAGAAACAGGCAGAGGGTGGGAAGCAATGGGTTTTTAGGCAAAGGTGGTCACTGTAAAATTTACAACGATAATAAGGTGGCAAGAGCAATTTTAAGAATGGATATGTCTAATGCTCCATTTTGAAGTTGTTTGTTCTCATATGATGGTGGTGGTTATGTGCCAACAAGTGGGTGGTGACTCATAGTATAACTTTATGGAAGTAGAAAGCTGTAAATCTCCTGTAGATTCAATCTGCTGACCTTGTGGTTTAGCAGCTTAATTTATAATCCACAATCCTAGCAGGTGTGGCATGTGAGATAAAGCTCTGGACCGGAAGGTCAGTTTGAACCACAAGTTTGGTGGTTCAAACTCACCAGCTGCTTCTTGGAAACCCTAGATAGGATCACTATGAGTCAGAACCTACTTGAGGGCACGTACCAAACCACAACAATTATGCTACCAGCGCGCCTGTGTTCTCATACAAGAATCTTCATTCCTATACTCTCACCACTATTACAGCACCCTCCTTCACTGGCAACCCTCTGAAAAGAGAGCTACACATGCAAATGCCCTGGGAGAGTGCTTAACAGAGGGCAATTTGGGCAGGGGGAGTGAATCAGGGGAGAAAACGAAACTATTCACAGGAGATGAATACTAAAAAAGATGGAGCACTGAGCTGTTCTGAGGCCAGAAATGACCCTGTGAAAGCACCTGGGTATTCAGAAAGTCATCATCTGAAACTAAACTCAACCCTCATTGGAGTAGTGGTGTAGTAGGAGTCCTGTGTGGAGCTGTGGGTTAATGCGCCGGACTGCAAGGTTGGTCTGAACCACAAGGTTGCCAGTTCAAACTCACCAGCTGCTCCTCGGAAACCCTATAGAGGGTTGCTATGAGTCAGAACCGACTCCATGGCACTTAACACCAACACCCTCTTAGCTGTTTTCTTGTTTGTAAAAATGAAACATTTAGCAAATGCAAAGCTTTTATTATTGAATTAGGTCTTTCAATCCCTTATTAAGTGGTTTACCAAATAAAAATTTAAACCTTAGGGAGTATTTTCAGTTTTGATAAAAACAATAATAAGCTTTAGTTTACTGGCTATAACTTTTTTTATTAGGTATTATGAAACTAAATATGCAACTATACCAAATATGGAGTCCTGGTGTGGTACTGTAGGATATACACTGGGCAAAAAGTTTGTGGCCTGCGGGTTAATGCTCTGGATTGCAAGGTCAGTTGAACCCCAAGGTTGGCAGTTCAAACTCACCAGCCATTCCTTGGAAACCCTATACAGGGTCACTATGAGCTAGAAGGTAGGCCTGGTGTGGCACTGTGGGTTAATGTGCTGGACTGCAAAGTCGGTTTGAACTGCAAGTTTGGCAGTTCAAGTTTACCAGCCCCTCCTCAGGAATCTGTACAGGGTCACGATGGGTCGGAACCAGCTCGACAACACTTAACAACAACATGAGTTAGAAGTAACATCCCAGATTCCAACTGTGATGTGAGTCAGTGGGTTCCACTGCAGCTTAAATATAGAGATGATTGTAGTTATTTTTATGTGCTGTAAAGTCGGTTCTGACTCATAGCAACCCCATATAGGGCTTCTGAGGAGTGACTGGTGAGTTTGTACTGCCAACCTTGCAGTTTGAACCAACCTTGCGATCGAGAGCTTATCCTATAGTGACACACCAGGACTCCAAATAGAGAGGCACTGATTAATAAATGACAAGGCAGATCATCCCCTCAAAAAACACCAGGGCACCTGCTATCAATCTGCAATGACTAGCCGGCCTTTGACAGAATAATGGAACACATGACCTTTTTTCTTTTCCCTACCACTCGTTTCCCTTTTGATAATCTAGAGTGTTGAGCAGGGTGGTGTACATGTCAGTGGAGATGATGAATAAAAGATGTGGCTCCGTAAGGCAACATACCCCACGTCACAGAAAGAGCAAATTTTAAGAATCAGGAGTAACCAGTTTTAGCTCCACATCTGCTCACTAGCAGTATTACAAAGGGCAGTTTCCTCAATGAGAAAACAGAAGCACTGTCATGGACTAAATTGGCCTTCCCTCATATATGTGCCTGCTTGGCTGGGCCATTATTCTCAGTGGTTTGGCACTTATGCAATAATGCAATATGGAAATTTAAAATTCAATATGGAAGAAGATATGTAAATGACACCCCTGATACGGTATACTGTGATAAATCAATCAGATGTAAAAGGATGAAGGGTGGAATGCAACACCCTTAACCCCGTTGTAGCTGTATCAGATTGTTGAAACACTTCTATTGGTATTCAGTCAATTCCTGGAGCCTTGTTTTTCACTAATGATGCTCTTGATGCCATCCCACAACTCTTCTGGTCTTCATTCGTTAGTATCTAATGCTTCAAATCAGTTCTTGAGGCAGTCTCTAAATTCAGGTTGGATATATTCAAGGAATACTTTGATTCTCATGGACTGGTTTTAATTTTCTTCATTTTCAACCTCAACTTGCATATAAGTGAATGTCAGCTCCTGGATTCTTTTTGGCTGATGATATTAAGCTTCTCTACTGTCTCTTCCCAAAGATATAGTCAGTTTGATCCCTGTGTATTCCATCTGGTGATGTCCATGTGTCTAGTTGCCTTTTATGCTGTTGGGGAAAAAAAAGGTGCTTGCAATGAATAAGTTGTTGGTCTTGTAAAATTCTATCATGTGATCTCCAACATCATTTCTATCACCAAGGCCATATTTTCAGACTACTGATCCTTCCTCTTTTGTTTCCAACTTTCGTATTCTAATTACCAGTAATTATCAATGCATCTTGACTGCATGTTTGATCAATTTCAAACTGAAGAATTTGGCAGAATTCTTCAATTTCACCATCACTGGCTTTAATGGTTGGTGCCTAAATTTGAATTATAGTGGTATTACTTAACTGGTCTTCCTGTAGGTGCATGGCTATCCTATCACAGACAGCATTGTATTTTAAGGTAGATCTTGAAATGTTCTTTTTGATGATGAATTCAGTGCCACTCTTTTTGTCATTTCCAGCATAGTAAACCATATGATTGTCAGATTCAAAGTGGTCAATACTAATCCATTTCAGCTCACTAATGCCTAATATCTCAATCTTTATGTGTTCCATTTCATCTTGGACTTCTAATTTTTCTAGATTTATACTTCTTAACTTCAAAGCTCCAATTGTTAATGGATATTTGCAGCTGCATCTTCTCATTTTGAGTTGTGCCCCATCAGCCAATGAAGGTCTCAAAAGCTTTTCTCCATTCATATCATTAAGGTCAACTCTACTTCAAGGAGACAGCTCTTCTCCAGTTTTTTTTGTTTTGTTTTGTTTTTTGTTTTTTGGCTTTCACAAACAGAAGTTTATTCCCTCACAGTTAATGTGGTTGGAAGTACAAACTCAGACAGGGGAAGGTTGTCTGTCTCTGTTGGCTCAATGGGAAGGTCCCTGTCTCCTTTTAGCAAGTGTGGACCTGGTGTTCTCTGGAGATCTCCTCGTGTCTTGGCATCAGTCTTC